CCGGATGCGAGAGAGGGGTGAGGGAGGGAGGTAGAGATCAGAGAGTAGAGAGAGAGAGAGAAGAGAAGAGAGAGAGAGAGTAGGAGAGAGAGAAAGAGGGAGAGAGAGGAGAGAGAGAAAAAGAGAGAGAAAGAGAGAGAATAGAGGGGAGAGAGTGGGCATAGGGAGAGGGAGTGAGAGAGAGGGTAAAGTACATAGAGGGGTGGTAGAGAAAAGTATTAGAGAGAAAATGAGAGTAGAGAGAGTAGAGTTAGAGAATAGAGGAGTAGAGAGAGAGAGAGAGAATAGAGGGAGTAGAGAAGAGGCGAGAAGAGGGGGAGAAGGGAAAATAGAGAAGGAGAGGGAGGAGAGAGAGATATCGAGAGGGGAAGAAGATAAAATAGAAGAAGAATGGGAGAGAGAGAGAGAGATGAGAGAGTAGAGCGAAGAAGAGAGAAATAGGGCGAGAAAGTAAGGTAATTATAATCAGGAAGAAGGTAGATGGGTAGAGGAGTAAGAAGAAAGTAGAGGTGACTAGAAAACGAGAGAGAGAGAGAAGAGAGAGGAGTAGAGAGTAGAAATGAGAGAGAGCAGCGAGAAAGAAAGAAGAGATGAGAGAAGAGCGATGTAGAGATGAGAGAGCGAGAGAGAGCGAAGAGAAGAGTAGATGAGGAGAGAAGAGAAGAGTAGAGAGAGAGAGCAGTAAGGAGAAGAGAGAGAGAGAAGAGTATGCCGCATAGAAGACTGCAACGTAGAAAAGGAGCGGAAAGAAGCCGGCAATAGGAACAGAGACTATATTGGTCTATAGGATCTGTAGAAGAGAGAGAGAGAACGAGTAAGATACAAGAGGAGGGGATAAAGAATGTGCGCCATTATTTTACCTAGACACCTGGGAGTAAAATAGTAAAATAAAAGGATAGTGAGTGGCGTAGTAATAGAGAGATGAGAGAGAGAGAGAGAGAGAGAGAGAGAGAGAGAAAGGGAGAGAGAGAGATAGAGAGTGATGGAGAGATGAAGAGAGATGGAGAGCAAAATAGAGCGAGGGAGAGGTAGAGACGGAGAGAGGGGCAGAGAGAGAAATAGATACGTTTGTGGACAGAAAAGCAGTGAGCAACATTGAGAGAATAAAGTCTAGTCGCAAAGAGAAGAAGAGAGAAGTGGGAGAAACGATACAGAGGGAGAAGAGAATGAGACGGGATGGCGCATATCTTGATGAGCATAACTCCAGGCCGAGTAAATGAAATAAATGACAGATATCAAGATATATATCGAGAGAGAAATACATAGAGACGCACTGCGAAGGGGAAAAAGTGGGGAGCAAGAGAGGTGGAAAGTGAGAAACAGACATAGACAGGAACAGAGCGGATAAACGGATAAAGAGACGAAATTACCGAGACAGATGCACAAGCAGAGCAAGATAGCCATATGCACGAGGGTAAATAAATGAGAGAACAAAAGAGAGAGAATGAATGCGCTAGAAAGAGACAGAGAGATAGAGGTGGGGACAGAACGACACAAGCAGAGATGAGACACCGCCAGGTGGCGTGACAATCGCCATGCCGCATGTGACTCGTCTAGACTCTGTGCAGCAGGGTATAGAGCCGTTACATACCCTGTATCTGCCGACCTCTCACCAGCTTCTGGCACCGCCGTTAGACCCCAGCAGATTCCACAAGACACCAGCAGACGGCGCTACAGGCCTCTCGTACATGACAATTCCCACTTGTTCGGTGAGAGAATTGGACTCGCTGTGAGATTGTGGGAGGCAACACATATACGACGTGACAGCGCCCTCTATATGCGAGGTAGACGTGTCGCGTAGTTGTGAGATACTGGCGCCGTCTATATGCGGGATAATTGCGCCCTCTATAAATAAAATAACAATGTCCTCTAGAAGTGAGGCAATAGCAATCTTTATACGTGAGGTAATGCCGCCCTTTATACGTAAGTGAGGTAATGGCGCCCTCTATACGTGAGGTGATGGCGCCCTCTATACGTGAGTGAGGTAATGGCGCCCTCTATACGTGAGGTAATGGCGCCCTCTATACGTAAGTGAGGTAATGGCGCCCTCTATACGTAAGTGAGATAATGGCGCCCTCTATACGTGAGTGAGGTAATGGCGCCCTCTATACGGAAGTGAGGTAATGGCGCCCTCTATACGTTAGTGAGGTAATGGCGCCCTCTATACGTGAGGTAATGGCGCCCTCTATACGTAAGTGAGGTAATGGCGCCCTCTATACGTC